TTTCATCAGCCATGGTGACTAAGGCTTTTCCATTCTTCAGCATCTGTACGTCCTTAACCTCTTCCCCACCACTCTTTGCCTTGATAAAGTTCACCAGTCTTTCCCTAGAGGTTTTTCCACCTAGCCCTTGAATGAGTATTTTATTTCTTTCAAATAAAGACTGATCAGCAGGCTCCTCTTCTGCCACACTGGGCATGCTCTGTGCTCGTCTTATTCCAGTTTGACCAGCATCTCTGTTACCAAGTCCGTTTTGTGGCCTACCACGGTCTCCCTGTCTGCCTTTGTTGGTTTCACCTTGTCTTAACTTCCCTGGTTCCGAATCATCGGAAGAACTGGGGGTTTTAATGCTGACAAGCTCCTTCAAGGATATTGGATGCAACTGATTTCCATGAGAATCTCTTCCTCTTCCATTTTTTTGGTTCGGTTGTCTTTGCATGAACTGAGAGTAATCTTCAGCATCTGAAAATTGATTGCTCTCCTGAAAATCTCCCGGAATTTGATGCTGCTCTTGGAAATTTCCACCCCGTCCCCCACCTTGTCCCCTACCCTTTCGCTTCGGTTTTGGTTTTGGTTTTGGTGGAGTTCCTCGACCGCCTTGACCTCCACGTCCCATTTGAGGCTGAGAATTGCCTTCATCGCCAACGTGCCATTCCTGAGACCCATAACGCGAATAACCTCGATTTCCTGTAATTGGGTCCTGACGAAAGCAACCTCTTTGTCCTCGTTGGTTCTCACGTCCTCTCTGCGACAGAAAGGCGTTTTTATGATCAAACCACTGTCCTTGAGTGTTATAAAATTGATCATCTCTATACACTTGGGTGTTGTTTGGATCCTGGTAAAACCCACCTCTGGGTCCCCTCTCCGGTCCTGCTCTTGTGTTGTCTCTTTGCCTTGAGTTGTGGCGTCGACAAGCTTGGTTCCTCTTATTTTGATCCGATTTATCGCTATCACAACCATTTCTTCGTGTATCTTGTCGTTCTGCATCGCCATGTTTCCCCTGCGTTTGATTTTTTTCTCTTGGCTTACTTCTATTTTTCATCCCTCTATTACTTTCGTGTTCAGGGCCTCCGTAAGATTTGTCCCCTGCCACCCAAGCTTGCTTAATAGAGCCGTGTGTTAGAGGATCTTCAAATTTTCCTTTAGGTTTCGTAATCAATGGCCTTCTTTCA